CCTGCATAGGTCTGATTAAACCTAGTGGCTATGCCTGGGGAAAAGGTAAATTGTTTTGCTTTGTTGGCCCAGGTTACAGTGTGGGACTGACACCCAGTCCACGGCCAGGTCTCTCCCCAATTCATTCCCCAACAATAGGGGGGATCGTAAGACTTCCGGAAACTGCGAACCATGGAGCCACCACATCACACTCCCCAGAAACTTTTCTAATGTCCTATTACTCAACTTCAGTTTCCATGCATGCAACAGCTCCTTCAGAGCCTGAAAAATTGGGTGCGAAGTGGAAGCGCCCATGATGACTGATAATACATTCGGTTTAGTTCCTTTTCGTTTTAGTCCGCTCGTCAGCGAACTCTTGCTTTCTCTTATCTACAGAGAAGCGCCCATTACCTGGGTTATCCTCACTTTAGGTGAGACTCCTGCTCCCCCCGAATTAGGGAGTGCGAGTTTTACTACCCGCTCTAGGCGGACCCCGCTCTACCTGGGTTGTCCTCACTCTAGGTGAGACTCCCGCTCCCCCAAATTAGGGAGCGCAAGTTTTACTCCCCGCTCTAGGCGGACCCCACTTACCTCAGGGCTTACCGGTACCATTTGCGCAGGGCTCCAACCATCAATGGGACTGCAGTTCCCGGGTTTTGGCACCACTTGTCGCACGCGGCCTTGCCAGCAAGGAAGACGCGACCACTGGTTGTGTCTGCGCAGCTCTTTATTGCTCTCTCACATCTGTTTTCTCTCTCCCGAGGCCCCTGCTCTTAGCTTATAAGTCTCAGGGCTTCCAATCATGGGGCGCCACGTGTGTACCGTCCATTGGTCCAGATACGCGGAAGCGATGCATTAGCCCAAGCCTTGACCTTGTATGGAGTTGTTTATTACTAGGAGCGCTCACCCCCTGAGAGGGTGGAAGGCGGAAACCAGTGCCATCCCAGGGTGTGGCTACACGCAGCTCCCTATAAGTATTGCCCTCCTGGAGAAAGCAGCCTCCACTGCCAGAATAACACATGCACCATCAGAGTCCAGCAGCTGACCAGACCAGAGCGAGCTGCCCAGCCCGAAAGCCAAGCCTAAAGCAAAGTGCCAGTTTTACCGCTAGGTACTTACTTCATGGGAACTTTTCCCAGCAGTTCCTTGAGCCCTGCCAGGCGATTTCTTTTCTTTTTCTTTCTTTGCTTCTTTCCTGGTTTTCTTTTTCTTTTTCTTTCTCCTCCTTTCTTGTAAAGCTCTTAAAAGAGTTAAATATTCCACAGACACCTTCCATAGGGGACCAGCTTTGCAGATCCAAAGGGCGTGAACATGACACTCACCCATGGAAGTAACATAAGATTACAATTTAATATACTCTTGTCAAGAAACATAATTTTCAACATCATCCCTGGGCCTGCTTACAAAATCTAAACAAGAGCACAAATAATTTCTGTGTGAAATAGAATAAAGATTGAAAATGTTAACACTAATGTAATCTTTGCCATGCATGACAGCATGTTCCACACATAGGCCTAGCTTACACTGACAGCATGTATGGTTTGCTTTTCTGTCTTTTGGGCCCATCATACCTGTCACCTCTTCTCTTCCTGTTTTCTCAGGAGGTTCCCACTATACCGTGTGCACTTAGCGGGAAAATGATTTATCAATAAAATATTTAATATGCTGTACCCTGTTCAGGAAAAACAATGTCTCCTCCATACACTGTTTTCTTAATAAATCTAAAAAGAAATATATAAATCTGTATGTGCAGCAGGTCAGGGAATGCCCACCTGGGAGGCAGGGGGATGGCCTTGAATTCAAGATTGGCCTGCAGTACAGTCAGACCATTTCTTTAAAAAAAAGCTGATAAATAAATACATTAATATTATCTCTTAGTGAATGCACACTGATTAGGTACAGAGAACACTAAAATAAGAGTTAAGGGACAGCCAGATAGCTCAGCAGACTGAAGCGCCTGCTTAGGCAGAGTGCAGCAGCCAGGTTCGATGCCTGCTGTGTGTACGCCCCCAGCTGGCTGAGATGCCATTGAGACTGGGATGTTGGCACCTGTAATCCCAGCTTTTGGGAGGCTGAACACAGGCAGATCACAACAAGTCAGATCTACATACTGAGGCCCTATAGAACCTGTAGACCCTGTCCTAAATACAGACAAATAAATAAAGTGGTATGATTTTAAGGCTCCAGGATGAAAAACCCTTTCACAGATTTTGAGATTTGGCAGAGGTTAAGACAAAGACATCCTCTGGGTGGCCAATATCTATTTAATTATCAAAGGAGGAGAATACTGAAGAGGACATCTGAGCAGGACCATTCATGGACGAGGAAGTCCACTCAGTGATTTCTTCACTAATCCATCATGTGCATTTAGGAGAATTATGTTACCTCCAGGAAGGTCTTCCCCACAGGAGTGAGATGTCTGCAGCTACAGTCCTTGTGTAGTTAATGGAGCTTGGAGCAGGAGTCCTTAGCTGTGGCCTTGTCTTCTCCTGGGAGGCTTCGAGGATTCACCCACCACTGCAGGCCTCAGCTAGGATCAGTGACTCACAGAGGTTCACTTACTATGAGTCTCCTGCCCATCTCCAGATCAGAGACCTCAGTGTGGACAGACTCCCAAGTAGGCATGGAAAGCCAATTGGGCACTTACATCCTGCTCAGAGCTGCTTCATAGTGGTTTCCATCAAAAAACAATGTGCGCTACAGTGAACGTACAAATAAAACTCTACCACAAAAATAATCTGTACTTGAATGATCATATGCAAGGTAGTTTTCACGCATGAAAATGACATGTTCCACATACAAGATAAGTTACACTGATAACATGGTGTTTTGGTTTCCTGACTCTTTTGGTTGAACATACATGACATTTTGCTACTCTTTCTGTCTTTTTAGGAGTTTAGGACTTCTGCTGTCTAAGCTGTCTGCACACAGGTCTGCTCCAGAATTTTTTGCAGAGTTTTTTTAGGAAGACATAAATTCTCCTTTCTCTGTGAAATTGAACATTTAGTTTCAATTTTTAGGA